TATAAGTGCATAAATATACCTCCATTGGACTTAATATGTCCAAACAAGTCAAATTACTCTTTTACAGTGGGGAAATTAAGCTAAAGCAATTGTGTGGGTGGTTTTGTTAAACTACAGAGTATAGAAATTGATTAGAGGTGATATAAAGGCTAAATGCAGATAATTCCATTTGCATTAAAATGAACCCAATGGAAGACAAGGCTGACAATGTGGAAGAAAAAAAAATGACAGAAAAATGGAAGAAAACAGATCAAAGAAAGTTCTAGCAATTCATAAAAAAGATTATTTTATATTTATTATTTATTATATATATATTTATATATATTTTTTTTTTTATGTTTTATTTATTTTTTTGTCAGACCAAAGTGCTATCTATTCAATCTTTGTATGCCAGTTTCCATTTTAGCATAGACTGTTGTGCAACAATTGTGAAAATGTTGATTTTTACCACAATTGAGATTTTTTGTAAAAAAAAAAAAAAAACTTTTCTGAAAAGGCACCATCCCAGTATCCTATGTCACAGTATGAATGACATCATTGCACAGGCAATACAACAGAGGAAGTCAGAATGAAGACTGAGTCAATGGCGGGGCACAAGAAAGTACTTCCAGCTCTGTGGTTCCAACTCATGGACAGAAAACTGAAACAGAAGATAAAGACTTGCACTGGGATTGGAAGATATCAGGCCTCTGGGATATATACAGCCTTTGGAATCCTTTAATCCAGATTGCCATGCATTTTTTTTAAACAAATAAAATAATTAAAAACTCAAAAAGGAAAAAAAAAGTTGAACAATGGCATTCCTATGATAAAATTTATTTTTTTCGCCCTATAAGTTGAGTTTTTTTTTCATAATTTGCATGCCCTGCGACTTATAGGCCGAAACAACATATTTATGGATCTCCCACCCCCGCCCCCATTTATAAACTAGTTTTTGGCTGAGATTCAATTCAATTCAAAGATACTTTATTAATCCCAAAGAGAAATTGTGTTGTTGTAGCTCTTCATCCTGGTTTCATTCAAAAGTTGTTAGATGCTGATAGCTGTGGGCAGGAAGGATCTCCTACAGCGAGTCCGCCACAGATACCGATCCGTCCATCCAGATCCAGCTTGCTGTCAGATTCTGCAGATCCTCTCAGTCCTCTTGGGCAGCACGACTGCCCGAATGCCAGGCAGAATTCCTCCCTGAGCGATGGTCCCAGCTCCCAGCAGTCGTCGCTATGGACAGACTTCTGAAAGCGCTAGGGGATGATCCCAGTCCTCCCGTTGTGACTAGCCGAGCTTCCCACCAGCTCCAGGATCTCGACGGTCAGGTTCTCGTGCACCGCTGCAAGGTTGATGGGAATTTGTCCATGGAGCCTCCTTTTCAACTCATTTGGGATCTGATGCTGTATTTGAGGTTTTTGAGCTGTCAATCAGCTACTCCTGTTTGTTTAAAAAAAAAACACCTTGTTTCCATGGTTGCGTATCATAACAAATGCCCAAAAGTAAAAAGGTTTCAATTAAAATCCTTCCAGCTGTACAGCATCCGATAACAGAGTAAATAATCATCTTAAAAAGGTGATTTACATCCAGAAAAAAAAGGAGTTAAAGTTTCCAAAAGCAATAACAGAATGAACGCAACAAATCTGCTCCAAAATGCAGCCACCTTGTGCGGCACAATTATAATATAAAACATATATGACCGTTTTCATTCATTCTGACTGAAAATATTGAACACTACCATTTTCAGCTGCTAGATGGCACTTGAATAGTATGGCATGCCACTGTATCGTGCAAAAATGGCTATTAATGACACAATTGCCTTGCCATAGCCTCCACTTACGTCCAGCTCGCTTGGAGTAACCGTCAAATCAGCTTAATTTTGTTGCGCTGCCCCAGTGAAATGCAGCTTATTTGACCATTAAAGTGCATTTATTAAGTAAAAGTTCAATTGAGACATCTTTATAAAGTCGAGCAAACAAATATTGTTTTTAGGTGGTTATCTTGTTAAATTTTGAAGAAACGCACAGCATTCCTCCTTCCTTTTTTCCTCCCTGCATGCATGCTTCCGGGGGCAGAGGCAGTGAATACCTCTGAAATACAGCTGATTTGACTGTTAAAGTCCTTTTACTAAGCAAATGTTAGACTGAGACAAACCTTTACTATAAAGTCAAGCAAATAAGCCCATTCCTCCGTACAGAACAGCTTCAACGCTGGGATGTTGGTGGGTTTCCTCACATTAATTGCTCTCTTCAGGTCCTTCCACATCTAGATTGGATTAAGGTCAGGACTTTGATTTGGCCATTCCAAAACATGAACTTTATTCTTCTTGAACCATTATTTGGTAGAACCACTTGTGTGCTTAGGGTCATTGTCTTTCTGGATGACTCTTCTCTTGAGATTCAGTTCATGGACAGATGTCCTGACATTTTCCTTTAGAATTCTCTGATATAATTCAGAATTCATTGGTCCATTGATGTTTGTACACCATCCTGGTGCAGGTGCAGCAAATTAGACACAAACCATGATACTCAGTGAGTCCTGTGATCCTGTTAATGGAACCTCTTTCAAACATGAAAAGAAAACCTGCTTCTGTGCAGACACTTGTTTCTTGACCATGTCAGGGTCAGTGTGGCTGATGGCACGTTGAGGTCTTGTCACACTTAATAAAACTACAGGGACTTTGTGTCTTCTGTGCAGTATTTATCTTTATTGGCTTAATTTTCAGCCCTGCATGGTCTCTCCCCTCATTTCCCCATGTTCAGTTTTGTTTACCCAAGTTTGAAGTGCAGTGAAGGGCACTCTGGATGGAGTTTGCGTGTTCTTTCCATGCATGTGTGGATTTTCTCTGGGCACTCCAGTTTCCTCCCATAGACCAAAAACATGCATGTTAGGCTAATTGGTAACTCTAAATTGTCTCTAGGTGTGAATCAGAGTGTGAATGGTTGTTTGTCTCGTTTGTTTCTACGCGTCTCTGTTATGGACTGGAGACCTGTTCAGGGTGTACTTTATTGTTATTATAGTTATGTCAGACTTCACTCTTGACTTGGGAAGAAAACAAATCCAGTTACAAATGATCTAATTGTGCTTCTTTGACTGCTTTTATGTGGAATATAATTTAGTGATGTGCGCATAAACTGACACACTGCTGTGAATAATCAGTGAACTGAGATCAGTCTGGGTGGATGTTAGATATTAATCTGACAAATGAGCATCAACAATCAGAATTAAATCTTGTCACTTTAATCAAAACAACAAAACAGTATTGGTTTTAATAAAAAGAGAAATACACATCTGAGAGTGAAACTTGAGAATAGTGGTGCTTCCATCAGTCTGTCCTAATTTATATTTGTTCGGAATATCAAATGGTTCCTTTTCAACATAAATGCCTGAAAGCCAGTTTTAAAACTCACATCTGATTGTATATATGCATATCAAGATATGTGGAGTATTATAGAATATTAACTGTCCTCTAAATTACAACATTAAAAATAGACTTTAAATGTAGTAGTACGGAAAATAATGAACTCAGTTTGTCAAACAGTTGGAATATCAGCTTCGGCTGAATAAACAACATGACTTGTAAAGCTATAATGTACATTAATTGTACACAAACTCTCAGTGTGAAACAGTTTACATGTGGATCTAGATCAGATAAAAAGTAGTAAGATGCATGTTTTCTAACTGGAACATATCAGCCATGTTCATTTTGATAAGTAAACATCGCACACAGCCATCAACATGGCAGCTCTAACTTCAATTATTCAGTCATTTAGGTTTTATCTATTTAGAAAATATATTTACTAAATCTGGGCTTTTATTATTTGAAATTATGATACCATCAATTATGGTATTATTTAAACAAATTATGATAAAACTGTTAACATCTCATAAAAGCAGCATTTCCCCAGAATGATTCTTTAAATCCCTCAGAGTTATACAGTCTGCAGGCTGAGTGATGAAGCTCCGTTCCACTTGAACCCGTGTCCTTCAAAAAGTTCTGTGTGGAAGTCTGAGTGAATATGAGAGGACTGATTATGGACTGAGAGGAAGATAAAGACACTTTACAATCATTTGTCACATCAGTCAGCAGACAAACACTCCTCACAAGGCCTCTTCGTCCCACTCTGACGAAAAGACAACGTCCTGTTCAGCTTCAACTGCAACGTTGAACAATTGTCAGCAAGAAATGATGGTGTGGGTTGATAAAATATATCAGTTACATAAATCACAATCTGTTCAATTTGCATACAAAGGAAAATGCTTGTAGTCCACAAAATATGACACTTTATTTGATGGTTTCATTCTCCTTGTGTAGTGAACTTGACCTGATCTCAAAACTTGACCTTAGGATCATATGGTCAGAAACTGTCATTTCATTGATTTGCATCCAGAAATACAGGTTGACCCATCCTGAGACTTTCTTTCTTGAATTAATCAAGTGGAAAAAGACAATTCTCTATGATCATTACTATTTTACAAATGTTTTGATAATCAAATTGTGTTAGTTCAAACAATGTTTACATGTTGAAGTGAACTACTCATTTTTATTTACTTAAAACAGTAATAATGATTTTTAATCCTCATTTCAAAGTGAAATCATGTTAGAGTACGTTACAGAGTAATGATTCAATTTCTTGATCGTCTGCTTTGAAGTGAACAAGTTTTGTAAGTGTGTCGAAGTTCAAGTTTCGGTCAACTGAAAGTTTACTGAAAAGAAATGTCATGTTTAACTTTTACAGCAAGATACTTGGTGAGTGACTCCACGAAGTCTGGTTTTCTCCATGATATCTTTCTGTCTGTTCTTAAACAATCTGAATCTTTTCCTTGACTTTTAATAACACCTTACATCACAAAACACACCTCTGTTCTGGTCCACCGACCAATCAGAGGCTCTCAAATGCACCGGAAATCAGTGTTGTTTTCGTTAACGATGACGATGACGAAAACTTTTCGTCGACGCCCCCTTTTTTCATGACAATAATGAGACGGTAACGAAATAAACATTGCTCTTTAATGACTAAAACATGACGAAATGTGTGTGAGTTTTCGTTGACGAGATGAGACTGTACGAAAATGTTTGTCGGTGGTCCGTCAATAATTTAGAATGCACAATATTTCTGCCCATTGGTCACACCCACTGCTACCCAACCGCGCTGATGCACCGCGCGCTCACCTTTGACTTCATTTCAAACTGGACCATGGCAGATGCTGCACGTTTTACGAAGGGGCTCGGTGGACGCAAACCCAGAAAGGATTTATGGACTTATTTTGTATTTAACCCAACTGAAAGAAGAACCGAATGTATCGTCGAGGGAGACGGAGGTAAATGTGGATTTAAACTTGGTGGAAAAAACACGACAAATCTTAAGCGGCACCTGAAGGCTCACCACCCTGATATTTTTTCCAAGGTAAGTTAGTTACAACTACTATTTTTGTAATGTACATACATGCAATGTTACTTGACAAACCAAACGGGTTGTGACACATTTCACAACTCCAGTTTCGTGTAAACTTAATGTTTTTTTAATTTTATTTTTATAAATCCTGTCCTTGCTTGCGCACGTGGATGCTAACTTCGTGCTATTAGCTTGTTTGTTGCGCTAATCTAACGTCGGCTACTGTTACGTGTAAAACATGCAGGGATGTATGGCTGATAGGTTGTGTTTGAGTGACTGAATATCAAACCTGTTGCTGTTACCCCATGTGTCTGTCGGGTCTGCATCCTTTAAACCAAAAACCCATTTTAGCTAAACACTACTTGCATTACATTTTAAAATGAGACAACCAACATTTGTCTGATAAATGTTTACAGTAAAAAGTGTTAGGGGGCCAAAAAATACTTCATTTTAAATAAATAAATTGAATCAAAACATTTGCAAAAGAGAAAAGATACATTTTCTTAGATTGAGTGTTTATTGGTAGAAGAAAAATGGACAAAGTAATGTAAAAAATACCCCCCCAAAAAAGCTGTTTTCAATCTAATGAAACGAAAAATAGTATTAAAAATACTGGTTATGTTAGTGTCATTCTGGATTGAAAATCTAATGCCAATTAGCAAAAAATAGGTAAAGCTGACATTTATCTGTATTCAAATTTCAAAAGCATCTGCCTGTGTTAAATGTTTGGTACTTCAGACTAAAAGCTACAAGGGCACCTCAGTGTTGTTTTTCTGCTCTGAACCCTGAGCAGAAAAACATTAACACTGCACTAAAGTATTTTTTCATTTATCACAAGTCATATCATCATCGCAATATGATGCACTGTTCTTGCACATCACAGGATTTCCTAATATCAGACAGCCCTAGTGCACTTTTAATAATCTAACTCAACTGTACAGATACATTAGAAATTTGGCCATTGCACAATATAGAAAGATCAGATGACTTACGTAAGGAGGACAGGGTGGATGCTATTCATCTGGTTATTAACGTATCAGAAAGATTTTTTTGTTTGCTTGTTTGACAGCTAAAGTCATTCTGTTTTCTTAACATGGTATTTAGTAAGATATGTTGGTACAAATCATTATGCAGAATATATGTACATATAGACATATAAATAATTTTTTAAAGATATACATACATTTGACTATTTTATATTCACTTATAGATTCTTTACAAGAGGTGTACATTGTATATACAGAAAGAATAATTATCTTCTCGCCTTGCTTTTTTCTCATCCAGATCCCAGAGATCCTAACTCCTAAAGAGAAACCTGGTGGTCCAAAGAACGACAGGTCACAGTCATCTATACCAGCAGCCTTTGCCGCAGGATCTAAATATAAAACAGATTCTCAGGAACAACATGCCAAAGAACAGGCGATTGCTCTTTGGATTGGACGAACAGGTCTACCTGCTTGCACAGTTGAGGATGAAGATTTCATCCTTATGATGGAGACCTTTGATAAGAGGCTCACCATACCGAAAAGAACAAAAATAAACAACTTGGTTGACAAGATTTATGATGGTGAAAAGCAAAAGTTCAAAGAGAGGCTTGCAACAGCACACAAAATAACAATTGGACTGGACATATGGACCAAAAAAGGCCTTACAGCATCATTTCTAGCAATTAGTGCATGCTTTTTTTTGCACTGTTGAAAACAAAGCACAGCACATACTGTTGAGACTTGACCAGCTCCCTCACCCACACACTGCTGAGTGTATAAAAACCCATGTTGATCAATGTACAGAGGACTGGGGAATACCCCAACACAAAATTCTGACAGTCATAACTGATAATGGAAGCAACATGATTGCTGTGTTCAAAGCTAATGAGCCGGATGAACTCAGTAGCTCTGAGGATGAATCCATCGATGTGAGCGACACAGAAGACCCTGAAGTGATTGGACAAGACCAAAGGTAAATTGTTTTAATTTACTGTTAAGATTTTTAGTGTGTCATACGCTAGGTTATAATCAATTTTAGCAACTGTTTATGACAATTTTATTGAATTTCCTATATGATATTAAGAAAGTTTCTTTTTCTCTGTGTTTTGTCCTCTCTATCTAGGTTTGGAGCCATATATAGGACCCCATGTGTTGTACACACACTGCAACTCGTTGTGAACATGATCCAGAAGGATGCAAGTATAAACCGACTGCTGGGCAAAGTTAGACTGCTTGTCAAGCTCTTTCGCAAGTCATCAGTGGCAACACAGCGTTTGCTCCAGGTATGTCAACTAACTGTGGTCAATGACTGCCCTACTAGATGGTCCAGCACATACCTGATGATATCACGACTTCTCCAAATCAAGGACTCAGTAGTTCAGGTTGCAGATGAGATGAGCTGGGACTATCTACTGCCAAGTGAGTGGCAGAAGTTCACTGCTCTTAGAGATTTACTTCTCCCCTTCGCTGAGCATACTCAGATGCTCCAGAGTGACACACAGTCTTTATCCCTTGTGTTGCCTGCCCTTCTGGACTTACACGGTCATCTATCTGAGTTCCCCAACGCTCAAGGTTCTACTTTCAAGGACCTAGCTTCCCTGGCAAATAAGATGAAGGCAAACATGGACAAATGGTTCAGCTGCTTTCTTGATCACACTGATTCTAAGTTTTCACCCCTCATTGCTGCTGCTTGCTACCTCGACCCGACAGTTGCACCTGAAGCACTCCTTGAAAATGATGATGAGCAAAGTGAGGCACTTCTGGGAAAAGCAGAAGAGTACATAGCTCAACTGGTGCCACCTGTTTTACAAGAAGATGAGGCTGAAGATGAGAAGTCAGGGAAGGAGGGAGAGGAAGAAACCAAAGAGGGAGTGGGACCACTGAGAAAGCGGCCCAGATTCAAGTTTTTGTCGAGTCGGCCATCCAGATCTGGCTTCTCAAAGCCGTGTGTCATGCAGGAAATTCAAGGAGCAGCTGTCACAGCCTATAAACCAAGAGACTGCCCTTGAATTTTGGGCTGCACAGGGGGATTCTGTGTATCCGAGCCTAAAACCTATTGCCTTAGATCTTCTGGCCATGCCAGCATCTCAAGCATTTGCTGAGAGGGTCTTTAGCATTACAGGTGACCTCAGTCGTGGCCGTCGAAATAGAGCAAGAGTCATTTTAGAGCGAAGTGCTTTCCTTAAACTGAATCGAGGTTGTTAAACTTAATTTGCATACCCACCTCGTTACCAAGCTTATTAGTGCAGGTGAAGACATGTTAAAATAGTGTTCTGTTTGGACTTTTTGCAACACTGCACAAAGGGTAGAGCCCCTATCTATTCTAAACAATGTTGTGGTAAACATTTTTGTTGTTTATTTATTTCATACTTACTTTAAAGACCAGATACAGTGTGTATACAGTACTTAGTGTTCTGGGGTTGACTTATTCATTTTAGATTTCAAAACTTCCAGTGGCATATTTCATACTTTAAGAGAATAAGAAGAGATATATTTTATTATTTTGGTTTAGAATGTTTGCACAAGTTAAAGATAGTCAAGGTTTAGGACAGTCTGTTTTTATGTCTTCATTGTCCTGGTTGAAAAGTTTGAGTTTAACATGTGTGTTCCCTTTTATTATAATATTGGGCATTTGTACTTCATTGCACTTTAGCACATTTTGAGAAATAAAGCCACAAAGTGAGAATGTTTTTGTTTTGGGCATTTTTGGAGTACCAGTATTTGATTCCACTATTAAAACAAATTACTCAAATTAATTTGTAAAGACTAATATGTTTTCTATTTATTTTAAAGACTAAAACTAGACTTAAAATTTTAAAGTTTTTGTCGACTAAAGCTGGACTAAAACCATTAAATATAGAAATGACTAAAACTGACTAAAACTAAGAAGTATTTTTGTCTAAAAGACTAAGACTAAAACTAAAATCAAAATGGCAGTCAAAAACAACACTGCCGGAAATAGAGCTCTTTAAATGTCGGTACTTCCTAGTTCTCCCCAGTTCCTGTTGGGTCGAAGTTCCAAGCTGGGAAACAGGACATGACCACAGAGCTCTCCCGAGTCTTATGGGATTATAAATCTTCCACCTCTGAGTGGAACTCTGACGGACTCCACTCATGTGAAGTCCACTTGTTGAGGTGAACTGTTGTTGACGAAGTCGCGTCACCACTCCGGATATATCTCTGCCATCCTACGGAGACGCTGAAAGGTAGCGTTAACTGGAGCTCCTCTTCCGCTGATTCATCGTCAGAGAGGTAATGAGTCTAGTCCACTACCGAGCGTACCGAGGAAAGCTGGGTCGGATGGAGGGTGTCGTCCTGTCAACACTTTTCACTCATACACACACCATCTCCCTTCCTCTAAACTTCAATCTTTAAAATTCTTCTATCTGCTAAAATCATTACAGATATTTTTAGAAATGTCTGAAGCAAAGTTCTCAATCACCGCTGTGTGATTTGATGTCTGCTGTTCTGCTGAAGAGTGAAAACAATCGCCGTATTGTTCTCACTCCTATAAAACTGATTGATAAGCTGTCGTTATTTTTCAATTCTTGCCAATTAATGTAAATGTGTGATGTGTTAAACTTGATTCTGTTAATAAATGACCGCATTCATTTTGATGGGTCAAAGATAATTAACGTCTCACGTCCACATTTTATTAAATTCAATGCACGTATGTTATACAGTCCAGAAAAATGAAGAACCCGTTTAATTTATGAATATATCTCAGGATATGTCATACTACAGCTGGTGGCCCGTCCATACGTTTCTACTACTTCTGGTGGCCCGTATAAATTCATAAATGGACTGTTATATTCGTGTGACAATTGAATATTTCATGTTGGCATGAAAAATTTGCAGATTGTAGCTGTGTTGAAACGCAGCGTGATGAGCTGTGGAGCTTGGAGCTAAACACTGCATGTTTACTCTGTGATGTTTTGAAGCTGAAATTCATTCAACGTGTCTCTTTAAAAGCTGAATTGTACGTCTGTTATGTGTAGCTAAGCTGGGTTTGAGCTGTGGAAAACGTTATTCTGTTTAAACTGTGGTCCAAACGGACGGAGGTTCTGTTGGTTCCGGCTCGGTTCTGAGAAAATTCGAACGAGTTGTTTTAAATAGATGGAGAAACGTTTTCAGGACTGGACGAAGTCTCAGCTAAGCTCAGAGTTGAGTTGTTACATTTTTTAACAGAAAAGAGTGCATTTTGACAGTTTAAAAGACTAAAAGTTGACAAACTATTTCAGGCTAACAGTAACATGCTAGTTGGAAAAACGGTCCGTGATTGGTTGAATTCAGCTGAGTTGGAGTGCTGTGATTCGCTGAGGGGTGAGTGACGTGCCTACGTCATTTCCTCTCACCCCGCTGTTGCTCCGTCATTGGTGGATTCAGTCATGTGACCTGGAAATGAAAACTCGTTTTCATAGGGATTTTCAATCTGCTTTTTAAAGCTCAAATACGCTTTAAAGTTGATTCTGATACGTTGCTCCGTGTCTTCGAAGCATAATTGCTGAAATTTTGCCACGTTAGAGTTTAAAATCCGTCATTAAATGATGTTTTTGAACAACGCTAGCGATGCTAATTTTAAGCTAACAGCTAACGACCGGATGAGTGACGTGTCACGTCACTTCCTCCATGTCGGAAATGAGCTCTGTTGCAACCGAAGCCTTCGCTGTGCTTAAAACCACTAATTAAAACTTGCCACATGTCCCTTAAAACTCATGTTCATGCAAAGAAGTCGTGCTTGTTGAAACAACGCCAAGTTTAAGCTTTAAAACCGTTCAGAAATGTTGATTTTAACCGAGTTTAGCCGAAGCTAATTTTAAGCTAAGCGGCTAACAACAGGATGTCAACCGAACGTTCACAGGAAGTCGTCATAGACTCCTGCTGGTAGAAAGCTAAACACTGCCCCCTCCTGTGGAAACTTTATATCACAGTTTCACTTCAGTTTTAGGTTATTTTGGTGAAATTAAACATATTTAATTTCTGTAAGACGAACTTTGAGTTAACAACGTTCCTCGAGCTGATTTATACTGTTATGTTATCTTACCATTAAAAGTCAGTAAAGTATTTATGCCCAGAGAGGCGTTTACTAGGACATTTTTCATTCACTGATAAATCCTCAAGCAGGTGCAAAATGAAAAAATGAGAACTTTTGGTAGACACAGTCACAGATAATCACAGAGCTGATCAGTTTACTCATTTGCTGGAAAGATAATACACGTTTAATTGCTAGATCACTAAATAAGAGTAAATATATCAGAAAAAAAGAGACTTTTCTGATCTTATTTTACCACCTAAAACAATTACATCTTCCTATTTAATTTTAAATAGAAGATATTGGCAGGAGAACAGGAGTAATAACAGTTTTTCTGAAGAAAGACTGATTAATCCTGACACATCATCAATTTTTATTTTTCTGTACACCTCTGAACTCGATGAGTAACTGTAAAATAGCAAATTTCTGGAACAGAACGGTTTAAAAAGTGTCTTTAAACTGATGTGCTGTGAGACTTTTTAGAAAATTGCAGGTTTATTAAAAATTCAGTGCTTTAGAGTAAAATACACTGAGAAGCTTGGTAATCTAGTATCTGTTAAGAAATAAGCACATAAAAAGTAACACTGCATAGAAGCATTTACTTAAATATTCATGAATTGGGGTAAAACCTGGACAGGTGCCCACATTTGAATAAGTTGACTTATAACAGTACTTTTGTGTAAACCCAA